ATACAGGGCTTTAGAATATCGATACAGTATCGGGAAATAAAATATCGCGATATTTCAGTGTATCGATATTTTCTTACACCCCTAATAACAAACAGTGACAGATCTTCTTTTTCTTCTCAGAAAACAGCACAGTCAGCCCTCCGCCTCTGTACGACCAGAGACCTCCACCGCCAAGACTCTGATGGACATCGGAACCCGCCGCATCTTCAACGAGGACCACGATATTTTCAGACAAAGCGTTCGGCGCTTCTTCCAAGAGGAAGTGGTTCCGCACCACAAAGAGTAAGTAGTGGAAGCACAGACGGCCGTGGCCTTTATGAAGACGTGAAATTAGTTCAGTCCTGTGTTTTTAGCCTCTTGTTCATCGCACTAGGTGGGAGAAGGCGGGCCAGGTGAGCAGGGAGGTGTGGGAGAAAGCCGGCGAGCAAGGACTCCTGGGAATAATGATACCAGAGGAGCACGGTGGCGTTGGAGGGGATGTGTTCTATGCTGCTGTTGTATGGGAGGAGCAGTGAGTTTCTGTTAAAGATTACTTTGAAATGAAACACCGGCCAAATTCTGCTTGTAAGATTAAAATGTTTTTGTTTTTCTTTCAGAATGTATTCCAACTGTTCTGGACCCGGTTTTGTTTTGCACTCTGATGTTATCATGCCTTACATTTCCAAATATGGCAGCAAGGAGCAGATTGAGCGCTTTATTCCCAACATGACTGCTGGGAAATGCATTGCTGCGATTGCAATGTCAGAACCAGGAGCTGGCAGGTCAGAACTCATTCATGCATGGCAGGAGTGTTTTGTGACTTTGATAACATTTCCACTTTTGTATAATACTTTATTTTAGTGATCTTCAGGGTGTGAGGACGTACGCCAAGAAGGATGGCAGTGACTGGATACTTAATGGCAACAAGGTACAGCATCTTAAAAGCAAAAACATTTCATTGATTCTCAGCATCAGCTGAAGTTGATTTCCCATCCTCTCTCTCCTCAGGTTTTTATCTCCAATGGTTGGATGGCCGACGTGGTGGTGGTCGTAACCGTGACCAACCGTGATGCGAAGACAGCGGCACACGGGATCAGTCTGTTCTTGGTGGAGGAGGGCATGAAGGGCTTCCAGAAAGGACGCAAGTTGGATAAGATTGGTCTGAAGGCACAGGTACTGGAGTTCAGGCCCAGTTCCTGCTACTTTAATGTCATTGCTCTAACTCTGTCCAATTGCTTACGGTCACCTTTCTTTCAAAGGATACAGCTGAACTGTTTTTTGAGGATGTGCGACTTCCTGCCAGTGCTCTCTTGGGTGAACTCAACAAAGGTTTCTACTACCTGATGAATGAACTGCCACAGGTAATTGACATTGCCACAAGTTGTGTTCCCAAATTTTTTTATTTGTCTAAACCAGGGGTTCTTAACCTTTTTGACCTCGGGGCCCAATTTATTGAACATAGAGTGGCACGAGGCCCAGTCAGACATTACCAATGTATGGATCAAAATGATAATTATTCTAAATCTTGGTTTAATTTTTATTGTATTTGCATTAAAACTAAATAAAATACACTTACAGTTCAAAAGTAAAACTCCTGTGAAATAATCACAAGGCATGATTATGACAAACATTTTTATATTGTAACCTGCCCATAACAATTATTTGAACAAATACAAAAG